CTGTTCATGTTGTGTTTTCTCGACCACGAGGCGGAGGGGGGGCTGCCCAAAACGGATGAAAGCCGTCGTGGAGGGGATTTGTGCTCGGGTTCGGATCCCCCAGGGGGGGAAAATCGACCGCACTCGGCCTCCTCTACCGAGGCTGACATCCCTCCGGAGAGGCGGCGGAAGCTCGAGCAACCCTCCTACGATTGGAAGCAAAAAATCGCACCCATTACGCGTTTGGTGCGCGCTGGGGGTGGAATCCTGCTCTGCACCGCGCGAATTCGGTTAAACGAGGATGAAACCGCAAGGGTGGCGGTCGATGGCGGTGGCGGGATTTTCAGCCCCGATGGAGGCGATTCTCCACGGCCGCCTTTAGCGCTCACCGCGATTCAATTCTCCACCAGCCTCCATTCAAAGTGGGTTTACCCTAAATCGGATGCAGACGACCTTGATTTTGTGCGAGAAGGAAATGGAGAGGATGCGATCGGGGAGGTCTTTGGCAGTTTTTTGGCGGCGGGTGGGTTAGCGTGTTGTCGCCATTATCGCACATGCGCAGACGCCATCGCCGGCGATCCTTTCGACGCCTTTTCCGCGAAGGGAAGGACCTGTACGAGGCGAAATCCATCCGGCGCGAGGGAGGTCTCCCTGGAGGCGACGGCCACGCCGGAGTTGATTCTCCTCGTGGATTCCTCGCTGCTGAACAAACCGCTGCCGTCCCCCTCCTCCTCGGGCGCGACGCTGCGAAATTGGTGGCGTGGGGTGCTAAAAAGGGAGGGGGTGGAGGAGATGGCGGGGCATCCGCCCGACTTCCGCGCCTCAATTCGACGGATTCTTCAGGACATTCAAACCGAATGTCGAGTCTCCCTGCAAAAAGGGGGTGGCCGCGTTTGGGAGAACGGCCACGACGCCCATCGCGTGGTGTTTAACCTCGACGAGGACGACGATGGCGCCGTCGATAAACCTTACGACGGTCTCCCCCTCCCGTCTGTGGGGTTCCCGACGACGGCGAATCCGCCGCCCTCCAAACCCCACGCGGGGGAGGGGTTCGTTGAATCCGCCCGCCGCGACGCCCTCGGGCGGCGGGTTCGCGAGCGTGCGGAGGGGTGGATCGCGGAATCCATCTCGGAGACGGCGACCTCCACGTGTGGGGATGCGCGAGGGCGGGATCCAAAGCTACCGGAGGTGCTCCGCCAACTCGCGAGCGTCACGTGCTTCTCCGTCCGGAGTATGAGCTGGCTGGCGCGTGAGGTGGTGGGGCAGAGGGATCTGGATCAAGATCCTGCTAGTTGTATGGGAAGGATGACTCTGGAATAGAAAATGCTCGAACAGGGAAAGGATACGAGCTTTCGCAATGCGTAGGCCCCACGCTACGGTCAACAGAGTGAGAACACAAACGGCAAGTATGGGGATATCCCCTTTTTTTTCCTGGTACCAGTCATATCTCCTATAGAAAAAGCGACAAATGATAGCATAGACATAAATAAACACAGAAAAAATAGCTGGAATCACGTGGCTGCTAAAGTCTAAGGCTCATATCAATGTCAAGAATATGAACGACTTGTTATTTATCCAACCTTGCATTTAAATACTTCCTCTTCAACTCAAAAACTTTCCTTTTGAAGCTCTTCTTCAGCAAAGAGAAAAGGGAAAGGAGTAATAAGAACCCCCCACACCCTCTCTCTCCACTCAAAGAAGAACAACAAACCCTTTTAGGGGGTACTCAGGGAAGTTATCCATTGCTTTTTTTCTTCATCCATACAGCGCCACCACCAAAAAAAAGCTGTATCACAAGGTACTTTAAGACCCACACACAAGAACTATTTATTTGTCTATTTTTTTTCTTTCAAAGCGATACCCTTCCCCCTTTCTCACACACGTGGGGCGTTATTCCAGATGATCCATCCAAAGTATTGGGTTCCAGACGCCGCGGCGATGCAGTGCCGGGGCTGCGGTCGAACCTTCTCCCTCATCCTCCGCCGCCACCACTGCCGCCACTGCGGGGAAATCTTCTGTGCGTGGTGCAGCGATCGACGGCTTTGGCTTCGCCCCCTCACGGCGCCGATGACGTGGCCGTTTCGCTGGTGTTTCCCCCTCAGCGCCGCGGCCGTCCGCCGGGGGCGACAGCCGTGCGAAATCAAAGACGGCTTCCCCCCACGCGACGACGGGGCGGTGGAGCGGGCGTGTTACCACAGCAGTACGGAATCCGACACCCCTTCCTCCGCCGTGGAAGTTCGACGTGGCCACCCCTCCACCCCTACCCGCACCCCTTCCGTCCACGACGTCGGCGGGCAACGCGGGAACAACAAAGAACTCTTTCGATGGAGGCTTAGTCAACTCCGGACATGCGAGAGCGCGTCCTCCAGTGAGGGCCCGACGCCCAAACCCACAAGAGGGGTCGACCCTGGCGAAAACGACGGGGAACGCGAAGGGTCTCGCCGAGGACCCTCCAGCCCGTCCCCTGAACCGGAAAAAGGGCGTGGTCGATCAGCGCTCTCCTCGAGTACGTCGTCTAGGGGGCGGTCGTCGGCCCCCCCGCACGAGTGGGCGCGCGCGTCGGACGACTGGGATGCCCCGTGCGATCCTTACGCGTCGCGGTGGGTGGTGGAGGCTGAGTGGTACCATGTCCGCGTCTGTCGGGGCTGCTTTGATTACCTCATCCACGAGGCCCAGCGCACGGCAAATTTGGATGCCTGTGAAAGAAAGACCACCTCCACTCGTGGGTTAGGAACCGGAAAGCCGCCTACGGAGGCCGCGACCGACGGCCCGAGTGGAAGTCACCCGCCCCCACTGGTCTCGATTGGGAACCTTTCGGCGAATAACGAGGATATTCACATGGAATCCTTGATCACGCTGTACGTCCAAAACGATCCCCCACCGTCTCCCGTGACGGTGCCGCCCGTCATAACCCGCTCCCCAAACCCAAAGGGGATGCCGTCTCGCTACGCTAGCAAACTGCGCGCGACGGGCCCCTGCGATGCCTCGGTGGCCTCGCAATCGACTCGTTTCAGCGAATCCGTGAGCAGCGCATGGAATGCGATTTGCTCTCACTTTAGTATGGGCGGCTCGAGGTCCTCCGGGTCGGGGAGCGGGAACCACACGCGGCACCTCCTTTTTAAAGGTGTTGTATTAGACAGCTGCAGCAGCGCCTCGCTTAAGACGTCCAAATCGGATCGTCTTTGCCAGGAAAAACGTTGCCGGTCGAATATCTCGCAGCCTCGGGACTCGCCAGGCCCCCAAGACGCCCTGTTTACGGAGCCGAAGAATAGTGATGAGACGAACGCACAGCATCTACCTCAACCTAGCGGCGACGAAATCCACCAGAAGGATGGCACCTGGGGAGAGACGACTATCACGGAAAATGTGAACGATGTGATCACGATCGAAAATGTAGGGTGCCCTCCACCCGGTCTTGCCTTTATGCCGCGACACTTGACACTAACTCCCAAGCAGCGTTCGATTTGTGTTTTGCTGTTCGACGAACGGGCGTGTGTGTGTTGTAATCCGCCACCCGGTGGGAGTGACCGTAGGGCCCTCCTCGATGACCCACGACTTATGCCAAATGGTCTGCCCAAGCTTTCGCTCTTTCTTGCTAGATCCGTCCGTGTCCCCTTCGCGTCCACGGCGTCGAAGAACAATTCCCTGGTGTGTTCCCTGTTCAGTGAGCCGCGGCGTAGTGCTTTCACCATCCGCGCCCTCTTCGAGGAACTCGCGGAGTACATGATGGCGGGTGAGGCGCCGAATCCCCAGTCCAACCCGAGCTCCCGGCGGAACGGCCCGAACAAGGCACGGGCACGCGGGGCGCACGCGCCGCGGCGGGAGGCCCATGCCCCGGTCGCCGCGTCCGGCCCGGATAGCCCCACCCACGCGGCCCCTTTTGGGAGTCTCTACCAGCGCCAGAACCTCAAGAACGCGTACGGCTCCGAGGTCGACCTCTACAACATGTCCGGCATTCCCAAGAAGGACATCGTGCTTGTCGCGCACCCCACCCGAGGGACGGTGGAGGACCCGGGCGGTGGAACAGGCCCCACGGGCGGCCTCGTGTCCCCCCTGCCGCAGTACCCGCAGTTCCACTCCCAGGCCCAGACGGCGTCCCAGGCCCAGGCACCCCCGTCGGGCAAGCCGAGCCCGGTCGGGCCAAATGGGAGCAGCAGCTCCGCCGGGACGACGCCGCAGTCGCGGCCCTCCCCCCTATCCCAGTCCCGCCCGGGGCTC